TTTGCCAGTCATAGGGCCTGAACTTTGGTCCTGGGCACTGTCCCTCAGCTCTTCAGCTCAAGGCTAGTGCTCTACCACTTGAGCTATAGCACCACTTCCAGCTTTTTTGCTTATGTGGTACCGAGGAATCGAACCCAGAGCCTCATGCATGCAAGGCAAGCATTCTATCACTGAGCCACCTTCCCAGCCCCGGTGAGACTCATCTCCAATAAACCACTCAGAAAACCAGACGTGGTGCTGTGGCTCAAGTGGTAGAGCCTTGAGTTGAAGAGCTGAGAGACAGTGCCCAGGCCCAGAGTTCAAGATGGGCAACTAAAAAAAAAAAAAAAAAAGCAAGCCGGGCACTGGTGGCTCTCATCTGTAATCCTAGCTATTCAGGAGACTGAGATCTGAGGATCGCAGTTCAAAGCCAGCCTGGACAAGAAAGTTCGTGAAATTCTTATCTCTAATAAACTATGAGAAATCCGGAAATGACACTGTAGCGCAAGTGGTAGAGTGCTAGCCTTGAGCTGAAGAGCTGAGGGACAGCGCTCAGACCCAGAGTTCAAGCCCCATGATCGACAAAAAAAAAACAAAACACAGAGTGATTTGGCCCAATTGTGGAAGGAGAATCATGGAAGTTATTTTGGAGAAAGAGATGTAGGAAATATACACTTTAGAATGAAAATGTACTGGGAGCCGGTGACTTATTCCTATAATCCTAGCAATTCAGGAGGCTGAGATCTGAGGATTGCAGTTCAAAGCCAGCCCAGGCAGGAAAGTTTGTGAGACTCTTATCTCCAATTAATCAACAGAAAACCAAGAGCGGCACTGTGGTTCAAAGTAATAGGGCACTAGCCTTTAGCAAAAAAGCTCAGGGACAGTGCCCAGGCCCTGAGTTCAGGTCCCATACTGGCCAAAAAAAGAAAAAAGAAAAGAAACAACAGAGTGAGATAGAAGGAGAAAAGAAAAAAGTGGGAGTGGAGAATTGAGAAGGAAGTTCCACAAAGGTTGAAGTACAAAGTCTGAAGAGTAAATAAGAAGAAAGCATCTGAAACCCTACAAGCTATATAGTGAATTATACCTTTTGTCTAAAGAAAAAGGAGGAACTATTCCAGATTTGCAAACTAGCTGTCATATAAGAATAGTTATGAAGGGGCTGGGAAGGTGGCTCAGTGGTGGAGCGCTTGCCTTGCATGCATGAGGCCCTGGTTCCATTCCTCAGCACCACATAAGCAGGAAAAAAAAGCCGGAAAGTGGCACTGTGGCTCAAGTGGTAGAGCGCTAGCCTTGAGCTGAAGAGCTGAGGGACAGTGCCCAGGCCCAGAGTTCAGACCCCACAACCGGACCCAAAAAACAAACAAACAAAGAATAGTTATGAAGCCAGATATCAATGGCTCATGCCTATAATCCTAGCTACTCAGCAAACTGAGATCTGAGGGTTGTGGTTCAAAGCTAGCAACAGGCTAGAGAGTCCATGAAACTCTTATCTCCAAATTACTACCAAAAATCCAGAAGTGGAGATGTAACTCAAGTGGTAGAGCACTAGCTTTGAGTACAAAAGCTCAGAGACAGTGCCCAGGACCTGAGTTAAAGACCCAGGAGTGACAGAAAACAAAGCAAAACAAATAGTATGAGCATGATTATGTTACTCAAGCTAGAGCTAAGAGTGACTCATACCTGGATGGGACTGAAGAAACAAAAAAGGAACAATGGGAAAGCCATTCTGAAATTGATGATTAATTAATTGCATGTATATGCATAGGGTGGAAAGTGGTAGCTTGAGGTTGATTCTTCTATTACTGACATAAAATATAGCAGAGCTATGACTATCCTATGAGAATACTGGAAAGTACAAATTTGGGGAAAAAGAAGGAGCAGGAGGAGGAGGAAAAGGAGGAGGAGGAGATGGAGCAGGAGAAGATTCTGAGTCAGGTTCTAGACAGCTATTATATTTCACAGTTGGACAACCAGTCCATTTGAGGCCAAGGCTCTGGCTCATTTATTTAGTTATTTATTCTCATCCTAGGTTCTTTGTAAATATTTGTTGGAAAGAGAAAAAAACAAGGAAAAATGAAGTATTCCAGTAGCACTTAGACCCACAGAATAAAATGACACATGTTTCTTAGATCATAATGCTGAGTTTCACTTGACATTTTGTAAGACTTTTTTTTAAATCAAAGATTGAAACTTTTAAGTTGTTTCAAATGTTATACTAAAATGGACAGGAAGATTTTGAAGCAGAATGCCAAGTTCATATGACTTTTTTTTTTTTTTGTCGGTCATGTAGCTTGAACTCTGGGCCTGGGCGCTGTCCCTCAGCTCTTCAGCTCAAGGCAAGTGCTTTACCACCTGAGCTACAGTGCCACTTCTGGTTTTCTGGTGATTTATTGGAGATAAGAGTTTCACGGAGTTTCCTGCCCAGGCTGGCTCTGAACCAAGATCCTCAGATCTCAGCCTCCTAAATAGCGAGGATTACAGGCGTGAGCCACTGGCGCCGGCTTGTATGTGAATTTTTTTTTTTTTTGGGAGGGGGGGGCCGGCCGTGGTGCCTGAACTCTGGTCCTGGGCACTGTCCCTCAGCTCTTCAGCTCAAGGCTAGCGCTCTACCACTTGAGCCACAGCACCACTTCCGGCTTTTTTCTTTTGGCTTATGTGGTGCTGAGGAATCGAACCCAGGGCCTCATGCATGCAAGGCAAGCACTCTACCACTGAGCCACCTTCCCAGCCCTGCTTTAGTCTTTTAGGCTGAGAATGGAATTGTTTTTGCTGACCAGCCCCCCATCACAACATATCCTGTTCCCCCTAATTTCCTTGGGTCCAAGGACAAATATCACTAACTAGAATGTGAACATCTAATATGGTATTTGTCACACCCACAGTGACCAAGCTTACTTTCACCAAGAATAACCAGCATCAGAGGTACCTGGTAGTGCTGTCAGAATAACCAGAAGCACCAAGCAGATGGAAGAGGACCAGAGTGAACAAGTGACTAAGCTGAAGGCCAGGAATGGGTCCTGGGAAGCAAACAGCAGAAGCTTCTGCAGGTACAAGCATGCAGAGTTCAGCTCCAGGAGCAGACACCATAGAGAAGCCCCCAGAGTAGCCAGACAGAACACCAGTTCCAAGGTTAGCTCACTACCTAGAAGTAGGGCTGAAGATCAGAAGACCTGCCATCATTTGCATCCATTCCACTATCTCAGTTCTTATAATAAAGTGCTCCCAATCATTTTGTGAGACTCCAAAAAGCCTGACCTGACCTCTATGTTTCCCCTTATTTTGGCCAGGGGGATTCTCATCCTGGGGCTGCAGCATCTACACAGTACCACTCGACTTCTATTCTTGGGCTTTTGTGTTCCATCCCCACACTCCATACCAGACTTCTCCTTAGAAAAGTGCCATACTCGATGTTTCTGTTATCAGGTGGACTCGATCACAAAGGGATCCAAACTCTTTGGGCAGTGCTAAGACTCCAGCTGTGCCTAGCAGTCAGCCTCCTTCTTCCTAGTTCAGCGCAAGTTTGGGTGGGTATGAATCCAGCTGTTAAGAAATGTATTCATTACCTTATTCTTGTCATTGTAACCCCTCAGTAGAGTATCCTTACAATATATTTTTTTTTTTTTTTACAAAATCCAGCCGTACTCAGAGAACCTGTAGGAAGTCAGAGGGCAAAGGGCTAAAGAGAGGTTGGGATGCCAGGTTTGGCATGTCTCTCCTCCTTGTTTGCTTTCTCCCTTCAGAGTTTCGCCACCATAGGGTGATAGAGAGGGCCCCAAGCCTGACCCAAAGTCTAGTTCTACCGCATGCCAACTCTATCAGTCAGGAAGTAACCTTTGAGTATGGAGGGGTGGGGATATTAGGCTTTCCAGAGCTGGTGCAGTCTAGGAAGGAATCTCAAGCCTCTCTTTCTCTAGTTCTTTTTGTTTGTTCATTTGTTTGTGGTTCCCTCTCCCCCCAAAGTTCTTTAGTTCCTCCCTAGTAAACCTCCAGAAACCTTTGATCTCTACCTGTGATTCTAATTCCACGGTTGCCCTCACTGTTCCTTCTTTGCTACAGGCTGACTCACAAACCCTACTGTTAGTAGCAGTGCCCAGAGTGGGTGGGTGGCTATAAATGGGATCAGTGTCCACCTAAGGATAAAACGACAGCCTGAGGAGGGAGGGGGGAAGCGGGAGCTATGGAGAGTCTCTCCAAGACCCAGACTAGGCTCTCTCCAGGCATCCACGCCCCCAGTTTAGCCTTTGGAATGGTTATGAATTTCAAAGGGGCTGTGGCCTGTTCTAACCTCAGCCTTCCACCCCCTGATCCTCACTCTGGTGCTTCTCCAACCTTCAGGCTCTTGAGCACCGGAGCCGCATCCCCGCCCTGGTGAGCAGGTTGTCCATCTGCAGGACACAGAGGTGCCGCCAATTCCAACGATCCTGGGCGGCAGATCCCGGCGTGGGCAACAGAGGAATCCCGGCGTGGGCAACAGCGGAATCCCGGCATGGGCAACAGCGGTAGCCCGCAGTGCAGCCCCCCGAAACACAGAGTGCGCATGGCCAGACGGCTCAGTTAGGTCCGGATCTTTCCGTGTAACCCCAGAGCTCTGCGGCCTCGGGCGGGGTCACAGGTCTAGCTCTCCCGTTCCTGGCGCTCTCTGGCCGCCCTGCCCGCCGAATCTGCTATAACTTTCCCGGCTTGGCCACGCCCCTACGCCGTAGCCGGGCCGTGATTGGAGCAGCGGTGGAGCCACCGCCCAAGGAACCCCGGCAACCGACCGCGTCCTGCCCAACCCTGGGATAGCAGGTTGGGGGCTCCTGGACCCCGAGGGGTGCAACCGAGGGGGTGCCACCTACCTCGGGGGGAGGGAGCACTTCCAGAATGTCAACAGAGTTTTTCTTCGTCTCCAGGGTTCTGAGCCTCTCGGAGTTTCAGAAATGGGTCCCCAGTCCAATCTTACCAGGCACTCCTGGGAGCCCCGCCCCACTAACTCTCACCTCCTCCTCCCTGCTAGCTCGTCTCTCCCCCACCGGCCATTCCCCCCACAGCCACAGCCCTGAAGGTTGCAGCCAGCGCTGCCAACTTCACTGGCCTAGACCTTTCCACCCCTCCTTCACCGCGGGAGGCGGCGCCTCACTTGCTTTATGCCACACCTTTTGTCTCACTTGGTTTTCCAGGCCGTTCGCAAACTTGTAACTCCAGGAGTCTTGACCTTATACCCTCGTACTTTCCAATCAAGTGCCCTAATTTTTAAGAAGCAACCCACTGCGGCCACAGCCCCTCCTCTTCCTTTTATTTTTGGCTCTACTGAAAATCCTTATTAGGAAGAAAAGACTCTAGTAGTCTTGAAAAGCATTCCCTCTCCCCGGGCTGGATACCTGTTGGGTGAGTAGAAATCTTTTCCAATCTAAGGGCAAGGAGAGATGACACGGGTCACCTCAACGTTAGGGCACACTCAGAAGAGAGAGAGAGACAGAGAGAGACAGAGAGAGAGAGAGAGAGACAGAGAGAGAGAGACAGAGAGAGAGAGACATAAACCTAGGGTGCAGGACTGCTAGGATCTAGGTTCCTTCAGCCTTGAGAGGAAAATCCTCCCATAGCCTTCATCCCTGGAGGAGTGACACGTTTTTCAGTTTTCCTTCCTTCTTACTCCACTCCACACCCCTTCAACTGGCTGATAGCCAGCAAGTCAGGGAGTTGCTTTCTGTATGCAGAGTGGGTAGATTCCACATACTCCTAAAATTCACATATTCCTGAAGTTCACAGGGCTAAGCATGTAGCTCAGGTTCACCTAGTATGTACAAGGCTCTGGTTTGATCCCTAGCACCAGCACATCCACCCAACATATCATAAACCAATAGGCGGCCCAACCAAGCATTCTCACCAAGGAACTGGGCACAGCTCTTCCTTCATCTACATTCACTTTCTAAAGTTCAAAAAGAAAGTACATTCATCTTCACATTTTATTACATGAAATTAATGCACAATTAGTGTAGAAAACTTGGAAATTACAGAAAAATTAAAGAGAAAAATTGTAATTCCATCATTGAAAGATAACCACTATTTTCATTCTTGAATATGTCTTCAGTGTGCTTAAAATATATAGTCAAGCCGGGCGCTGGTGGCTCACGCCTGTAATCCTAGCTACTCAGGAGGCTGAGATCTGAGAATCACGGTTCAAAGCCAGCCCAGGCAGGAGAGACC